TTAAGGTTTTGACCTATACTTTTAAAAGATATTATTTTAAAAGAGCACCATGTATAGGCTGGCATATCTTAAGCTAGGATTACTTATGTAGACTAATGAGTCTGTCATTGACGTGAATTTTAATTTTTTCTGAGTTTTAAAACTGCAACTGTAGAACTAGATTTGGCCCACAACAAAAGGCTATTGTTTCAGTTCTCAGTGAGCTTGCTTGGTCTACATGTGAAATGATAATGCAGAATACATGCATCATGGCAAAACCCATGAACATACAAAGACCTCTTATACTCATCCATGCACAAAATAAAATAAAAATGGTTCTAATTTATTATTTTCTGACATTTAGCATCAGTGAACAACCAGGCTTTAGTGTCAATGACCAGTGATTTATTGTAAAGTAATAATTTGTTTCACATGGTTTAGACCAAAACTGAATGTAGGTTACTCCTTGTCCTCTAGATTTTATCACTTAGGGGTGATATGTTCATGGAAGTGGAAAGAACTACTACCATGGAATTTAAGAAGAACAGAGGAAAGTCTTGCTACAGTTGATCTCCTTTTAAATGTCTTTCTTCCATTTTGCCTTTCTTTTTTGGTTAGCTTTATTGAGATATAATTGGCAAAAAGTAAAAATTCAGACTTTTTAGCATGAGTTCTGATAAATACATACAGTTGTGTAGCCTCCATCTGAGGACACAGAACAGATCCATCATACCCCAAAATTCCCTCAGAATACCCCTTATAAACAGTCAGCCCCCTCCAACTGGTAATCACAGGCCTATTTTCTGTCTCTATAGTTTTGTTTTCTCAGTCCAGTTTCTTTGACTCAATGTAATGCCTTTGACATTCACCTGTGTTGTTGTCTGTATAATAGTTCCTTTTGTTGCAGAGTAGCATTCCATGGTGTGGGCGTGCCACAGTTTGTGTTTAATCAGTCACTCATTGAGGGACATTGGGGTTGTTTCTAGTTTGGGGCAATTGTGACTAAAGCTGTTACAAACATTTACATATAGATTTTTATGTGTGCATAAGTTGTCATTTTTTATTTCATTTTGGATAACTGGGAATGGGATTATTGGGTCATACGGTAAATGTGTGTTTAACTTTGTAGAAAACTGCCAAACTGTTTTCCAGTGATGTACTATTTTGCATTCCTGCCAGCAATGTATGAGAGTTCTCGTTGCTTCTCATTTTTGACAACAGTTGGTCATCACAATAAAAAAAAAAAATTAACGATTCTGATAGGTATTTAGTGGTGTCTTATTGTAGGCTTACTTTATACTGCCCTAATGGCTGATGATATTGAGCATATTTTCATGTGCTCATCCTTGTATCTTCTTTGGTGAAATGGCCATTCGACTTTTAATTTTAACATTTCCTGAGGTACATCATCTGTGTGATGCTTTCCTGAAGAGTATGTGTGGGGAGAAGTGGGGGAGCAAAGGGGAAAGGAAGCAGGAAGAGAGATAGGAAAGAATGTGTGTTGGTTAGAAGCCTTTCCTAATGGCATTTATTTTCATTGCTAAACTATTTAGAGGACTTTTCTTAAATTTTAGCTAGACCTTGGAAACAGTAAGCAGGTATACTAGGAAGAGCAAGGTCTCTGGAGCCAAACTTCCGTAATCAAAGCATGAGTCTATCACTTACTAGATGTGTGTCTGGAGCCAAACTTCTGGAATCAAAGCATGAGTCTGTCACTTACTAGACGTGTGACCTTGGGCAAGTAACTTGCTTTTTTATGCCTCAGTTTCTTCATCACAAAAATAAAGATAGTCTGGGCATGGTGGCTCATGCCTATAATCCTAGTACTCTGGGAGGCCGAGGTGGTCAGATCACCTGGGGTCAGCAGTTAGAGACCAGCTTGGGCAACATGGTGAAACCCCACCTTTAATAGAAATACAAAAAAATTAGCTGAGTGTATTGGCACATGCCTGTAATCCCAGCTACTTGGGAGGCTGAGGCACGAGAATTGCTTGAACCTGGGAGGCAGAGATTGCAGTGAGCTGACATTGCGCCACTGCACTCCATCCTGGGTTACAGAGTGAGACTCTGTCTCAAAAAAAAAAAAAAAGAAAAACCTACTTCACAGGATTGTTAGATTAAATATGTTAGCATCTGTAAAGTATTAGGATAGTACTTGGCACATAGTAAGCTTTGTATCAGTGTTAGCTGTCAATGTTGTTACCCTCACTGTGACCATAATGTTCAGTTGAAAAATTATGGTTTATTTTTACATGTTTCCAAGTATGAGGGATGGTTGTCGTTTTTCTCTGCCTTAATAATGGAATATTTAGGGTGTTTGAGTGGTTAAGGAAGGCAGCAGAACAATTTAAAATAGATACCATTCTAGAAAATCTAGCAGACTGTATTAGTCCATTTTCACGCTGCTGATAAAGACATACTTGAGACTGGACAATTTACAAATGAAAGAGGTTTAATTAGACTCACACTTCCACGTGACTGGGGAAGCCTCACAATCATGATGGAAGGCAAAGAGGAGTAAGTCATATCTTATGTGGATGATGGCAGGCAAAGAGAGAGCTTGTACAAAGAAACTCCCATTTTTAAAACCATCAGATTTCATGAAACCTATTCACTATCATGAGAACATCACAAAACCTGCCCCCATGATTCACTCATCTCCCACTGGGTGCCTCCCATAACACATGGGAATTATGGGAGCTATAAGATGAGATTTGGGTGGGGACACAGAGCCAAAGCATATCACAGACCTTTTGGATTTAGGCATCATTTTTTTTTTCAATTTATAAGCTCAGGTATGAATATCAAGAACACCTAACACGTAATAGTTTAAATGTCCCATTTGTTGCAGTTTATGGTTGCTTTTGCTTTTATCATTCTTCTTTGGTCTCATCTACTTTTTGGAAAACAAATTATGTATTTACTAAGAATGCTTATTTTTTTGATATGATTGATTTGACCTTTTTTTTTTTTTAATGCGTCTACGTTAGATTTATAATTCTGAGCCTTACTTGATGAAGTACAGAGGAAAATATCTGACATTTCTTATTTCTTTGAGTCTTATTTCTTTTTGGGATTTTTAGGTTGTGGAGATGTTGGAGGTTCCCAATAAACCCACGCAACTGTCGTACAAGTACTACTTTATGTCTGTGAATGCTTCAGATCGTGAAGACAGCCCTGCAATGGCACTGCTGCTGCAGCAGTTCAAGGAAAACATCCAGGACTTGGTTTTTCGTACAAAAACCGGGAAACAGACCAGAACCAATGCCAAGCGCAAGGTATGATTCCATATGGAAATGAGAACAGAATTTGTGTGTGTTAACTTGGTTGTGTTCTTTACTCATTTTTAATATGAGAACTAACATATGGTTTTTAAGAGACGAGGCAGCAATAAGGCTTAAATAACAATTATCTACATTTTCTTGAAAATGCTTCTGTTTTAATTGAAGAATTATCCACCATTTTCCACGAGAGAACTTGTTAAACACAAAATATTTACCAATAAATTACCAGTGTTTAGGTCAATATTTACTCAATAAATAGTGACATTTGTTTTGGTTAACCCTTAGCTTTCTTTCAGTATTTTAACTATCTTAATGAATTGCATCACATGTACTTTTTTTACCTGTTTGTGTTCTTTACTTAAATTCTAGTTGTCTGATGATCCGTGTCCAGTAGAATCCAAGAAAACGAAACGATCAGGAGAAATGTGTGCCTTCAATAAAGTTTTAGCTCACTTTGTCGCTATGTGTGATACAAATATGCCATTTGTAGGACTTCGGTTGGAGGTAATTTTTTTTGGAACAGTTCTGGATATTCCAAATGAAGAGTAGTTTTTAAAATGTGTTGCTCAAGGTATATAGATTCCATTAGGAAAAGCAGAATATTTGTGATCCTGTTCATTTTGGGAGGAGTGGTAGGGTTACAATCATAGCATCTCATGGTATACATGTAAAACATAACTTGAATTATTTCATTTCTCTGATTCCAGATTCTGGGCTTTCTGCTCTTTATGGAAATTGAATGTAAATTTTTCCCAGTTAAAAAAAGTGGACAGGACAGGGTGTGGTGGCTCACTCCCGTAATCCCAGCACTTTGGGAGGCTGAGGCAGGTGGATCACCTGAGGTCAGGAGTTTGAGTCCAGCCTGGCCAACATGGTGCAACCCTGTCTCTACTAAAAATATAAAAATTAGCCAGGAGTGGTGGCACATGCCTGTAGTCCCAGCTGCTCAGGAGGCTGAAGCAGGAGAATTGCTTGAACCCGGGCGGTATACGTTGCAGTGAGCTGAGATCGCCTGACTGCACTCCAGCCTGGGTGACGGAGTAAGACTCTGTCTCAAAACAAAAAAGATAAAAAAAAGTGGACAGGCTGAGTGCAGTGGCTGAAGCCTATAATCCCAGCTCTTTGGGAGCCCATGGTGGAAGGATTAATTGAGCTCCAGGAGTTCAAGACCAGCCTGGGCAACATAGCAAGACCTCATCTCTATTAAAAAAAGAAATTTAAAAAATTAAAGAAAAACAAGTGGGCAGTTTTTAAGAATTAATATTTTACTTTCATACCTCTTGGTAGGAGCATTGTTTAAGCCTATTAGAGACGGTTAGTTGATAATCGGGTGGCTTATTTTTGAGTTAGTAAAGCCATGTATATTGCTTAAGCACTAGTAAAACTGGGATCCTTTCTAAGAAGCAGATCAGAAAGAATATTAAATTAAATTTTTACTTTTGTCACTTGGGAGAAGCAATAGATTTATGCAGAATTAGTGTCTTTCAAGAATACAAAGTTGTGATATCCAGTATAATCCTCTAAAACATGAAAGGGAGGTAAAATAACCTGTATTTTTTGTGTTTCCAGAAAGGGGTTTGGCCAAGGATGGGTAACCCCTCAAAAGTGTTACACTAAAACCCCAGTTATTTCTGTAGTATAAAGTTATTTTTTCCAGAGACAGGGTTTCACCATATTGGTCAGACTGGTCTCGAACTCCTGACCTCAGGTGATCCACCTGCCTCAGCCTCCCAAAGTGCTGGGATTACAGGCGTGAGCCACCATGCCCGGCCTAAAGTTTTATATTTTGTAAGAATCTCCTCCTCTGTAAGTTATTGTGAATGAAGGAGAGACCTGGAAAGGTAGAAATGGACTTTTTCAGTTGGGCTGATGGTGATGGCCTTGGGAAAATTTGTTGAAAATAGCTTTTATGCTTTAGAACAGGGATTGACAAACTTTTTCTGTAAAGAGCCAAATAATAAATATTTTAGACTTTGTGGGTCAAGTGGTCTCTGTTACAGCTACTCAAATCTGCTGTTGTAGTGTGAACTAGCCAGAGCTGATATTTAAACAAATGAGCATGACTGTCTTACGATACAACTTCGTTTACAAAAACAGGCAGTAGGCTGGTCACGGTGGCTCATGCCTGTCCTCCTAGCACTTTGGGAGGCTGAGGCAGGCACATCACCTGAGGTCAGGAATTCGAGACCAACATGATGAAACCCCATCTCTACTAAAAATATAAAAATTAGTTGGGCGTGGTGGCAGGCACCTGTAATCCCAGCTAACACGGTAGGCTGAGGCAGGAGAATTGCTTGAACCTGAAAGGCAGAGGTTGCAGTGAGCCGAGATCATGCCACTGTACTCCAGCCTGGGCAACAGAGTGAGGGGAAAAAAAAAAAAAAAACAACAAAAAAAAAACAGGCCATGTGCTGGGCTTGGCTCATGAGCTGTTGTTTGCCAATCCTTGATTTACAGGACTTTGGGATCTGTAGGCAAAGGATAAGGTGTGAAATTGAAAAGAGCCCAGAGAGAAACCCAAGCCCAGAAACAGGCACCTAAAATAAATACTCATGTCCTTGATGACCCAGCTCCTAGAACTGTGAGCTTGATGAATGTCCTCTTATCTGGATACTGGCCTTAGCTCCTAAACTGTGGAGTGTGTCCATGTTTCCTGTGTACTTGACTGTATTCTTGGACTCTTTTATTATGTTATTTGGATCTATTATATGAAAGCCATTCAGTTACTACCTTTGCAGTGGGAAAGGAAGATGGATATATGGTGCTGGGGCAAAGCAATGCATTTATATTCTCTCTTCCTCTACCCACAGGCCAGAATTTGTAAAAATGTGTGTCTCTGTAGGCCTACATAGGTTAATGACTATAGACATACGTCTTCTGTGTCCACCTTCTCTGTATTCCTATATCTGCTGCACATAGGGGACACAGATGAACATTCTGCAGTGCTCTGTTGAACTCAGTCAAGCTCTTAAAAACTTACCTACTTTTTATTCTCAGTGAACATTCTAGCTATGTTAAAGATAAAAGCAAGTATGTTTTCTGCTTAAAGTAGTTTAGGCTGAGATGTGAGTAAAACTAAATCTAATTTTACAAGGGATGTTTATATCTCTTTTTTTTTGGGGTTGGCGGGGGATGGAGTTTCACTCCTGTTGCCCAGGCTGGAATGCAATGGTGCGACTCAGCTCACTGCAACCTCCGCCTCCTGGGATCAAGCAATTCCCCTGCCACGGCCTCTCAAGTAGCTTGGATTACAGGCATGCACCACTACACCTGGCTAATTTTTATATTATTAGTAGAGATGAGGTTTCACCATGTTGGCTAGGCTCGTCTTAAACTCCTGACCTCAGGTGATCTGACCGCCTAGGCCTCCCAAAGTGCTAGGATTACAGGTGTGAGCCACTGCACCCAGCTAGATGTTTATATATCTGATTGAGAGAATAGCAGCAACGTTTTTGAGCTGGCCCACACTTCATTTCCTTTTGAATCTGAACCCCTACCTCCTATTTGGTCACCAGCTATTTTTCTAAACTTTTCTCTTTCCCAGGCCCAAAGAAGAGGGCTCATTTAAATACTTGGAACTTCCTTAAATCCTTTCCAGAACATGGTAGATATAAATAAATAGTCTGTCATGTAAGACCTGGGAATGTCTGCCAAAGGCAAGCATTTCTTTAGATCAGACGACTTTCTGGCATACCATAATTATTTGCAGTCCCATGGAAAGGGTTTCAGGGACTATCTACATTTATCTTTTTAATTTGCTTTCTGAATCCTTTAATTGGGAAAGAGATGTTATTGGGTAAATGCACAAATTGGAAATCTTTTCTTGGGTTTCACATAGGAAGTAGCTTTTTTTTTTTTTATTTGTTTTTTTTATTTTTTATTTTAGAGATGGGGTTTCTCCATGTTGGCCAGGCTGGTCTCAAACTCCTCACCTCAGGTGATTCACCCACCTCAGCCTCCCAGAGTGCTGGGATTACAGGCGTGAGCCACCACGCCCAGCTATTTTTATTTTTTTGAGATGCAGTTTCACTCTTGTTACCCAGGCTAGAGTGCAATGACGTGATCTCAGCTTTCCACAACCTCTGCCTTCCTGGTTCAAGCAATTCTCCTGCCTCAGCCTCCCAAGTAGCTAGGATTACAGGCATGCGCCACCACCTCTGGCTAATTTTGTATTTTTAGTAGAGGTGGGTTTTCTTCATGTTGGTCAAACTGGTCTCAAACTCCCAGACCTCAGGAGATCTGCTCACCTTGGCCTCCCAAAGTGATAAGGCCACAGGCATGAGCCATCGTGCCCAGCCAGGAAGTAGTTTAATTGTTAAGAATATATTTCAGAAAAGTTATGAACTAAAAAATATTGTTTAGAAATAAGCTATGACAGTGACTCAAACATTGTTTTAAACGAACAGAGTAGAATTACACAAGAAAACTATTCTTATTTTATAGTTGCCTCTTTTGGAACTACTAAAATTGGTTCTAGATTACTTTTGGCTCACTGCAAATATTAGATTGATTTCCTGAATTTTGAACATTTGCCACTTGTGGAGGTGTTTCTTAAACTAGATGCGCTGGGGCAGCTTTGAGTTCCACTGGACTTTGTGTCATTTCCCAGAAATCTAATTATGGGGATAATACTCATGCATAATGTGTTGTAACTTGGGGAAAGAATGGCCCGAGAACAGGTGCCACAAAAATAGAGACTGTAGTACTTAGAAATGGTAGTCGTTTTTGTAAAATTGGTGGTCTGATACAATTCTTTTTTTCTGTTTCTAGTTGTCCAATCTGGAGATTCCACATCAAGGAGTGCAAGTGGAAGGTGATGGCTTCAGTCATGCAATTCGCTTATTAAAGTAAGCCCTTGTCATGTGTCTCACTTGGTGCCACATGTTGCAGTCATACTCTAAAAGCTCCTTGTTTTCCATGAGACAACATAAAATAGTGTTCAGAACCTGTGGGTGTTGTGGATTCCTGCATAGAGTTATTAGGGTCTGGGGGAAGATTCCCTTTAATCTATGGAGTGGCAGTCCAGCATCATTTGTGGGTTTTTTGTTTTGTTTTGTTTTGTTTTGTTTTGTTTTTGACAGTCTCATTCTATTGCTCAGGTTGGCTGGAGTGCAGTGGCATGATCTTGACTCACTGCAACCTCCCAACCTCTGCCTTCTAGGTTCAAGCAATTGTCGTGCCTCAGCCTCCTGAATAGCTGGGACTATGGGCGTGCACCACTATGCCCGGCTAGTTTTTATGTATTTTTACACAAAGAGACAGGATTTCACCATGTTGCCCAGGCTGGTCTCAAACTCATGGCCTCAAGTGATCTACCGTCTTTGGCCTCCCAAAGTGCTGAGATTATAGGCATGAGCCACCACGCCCAGCCTCACTTGATGTTTTTGGATGTCTTTTCTCTGCATTTCTTTGATTCATTCAGCAGATATATATTGAGTGTGACTGTGTGTCAGGCTTGAATTCTGACATCTGCTCAGAATGCTGTGGGTTCATAAAGCAGAGGAATATGGGCTAGTTCAGAAGTCAGGAAGGGTATCCCTGAGGAAGTACCAGTTGTGCTTCGACTGAAGGAGAGGTGAGAATTAGTCAGAGGAAAGTGGGGCAGAGGTAGTGAGAGGTCCAAACCAGAGGGTTAACTGCTAATGTGAAGGCTTGAAGGGAAGAGAGAGCTCTGCATTTTTTGTGCTGAAAGGAGTTCAGCATGGCAGGAGACAGGAGAAATGAGGCTGGAAATGTAAGCAGGAAGGGATCAGATCCTTTAGTCCTCTGTAAGTGTCCTTAAACAATTTAGGCTTTATCCTAATGGCACTAAGAAGGTATTCAGATGATTTTAAGCTAAAACTGACGTCATTAGATAGATAGGTGTTTTTGAAAGCTCAACCTGATAGTAATATGGAGAATAAATTGAAGGGGAACAAGACTAAAGTAATGAAACCAGTTGGTGAAATTGTTCACACTAGAGTTGTTGGTAGCTCAGAGCAGGGTACATCCCACAAGGAGTTAGAAGAGAAATATTCACAAGTTATGATTAGTCTGGCATTGAAGGGAAGAAAGAGGGGAAAGTGGCAAAGATGATTCTTGGTTTTATCTTGGGCAAGTAATGGTTGGTGGCAGTGTTTTCTGAGATAAGGGACCCCAAAGATGTGAGTTTGAATGGACTTTGCTAAGTTTAAGGTGTCTGAAAACCCTTTGGGCAGGCAGAGATGTGTCTCAAGCTCAGGTAACAGATCTGGGAAGGAGAAGTAGATAAAGTCATCACCATCGGGATAGTAATTGAGCTGGGGTAGTAAATTAGATCACCAGGAAAGAGTATACAAAAGGAGATGGGCATAGGACTTTGTTCTAAATGGACAAAGGTTGAGAAGCCAAAGGATGCTTAGAAGTAAAGCTAATGCGGTAAATGTGCTTTATAAAATGACCCAGTATGGACTTGCAAAGCCAGAATACCATCTAAGAGATCAACCTTTTTGGTCCAGGAAACAGGTTCCTTTGCAAAGGAGGAGTACACTTTATTGTTTCTCAGATATTGCTTAATGATATAAATTATATAAGCAATGTTTATTTATCAAACTCCTCTGTCTGCCAAGACATAGCAGCTCTGCAATTTGAGAAATGAGGCTTTACCATTTGTTATATAGGAATCTGTTTCTGTGGAAGGTGGATAGAGCTAGCAAATAGTGTCACATAACTCATGTGTCGTCATTAGTGCTCACTTTAGATACTACGGAATTGAAGAACTAGAATAGTTCCTTGTCCTGGCTATCTTAACACCATTTCTATAAAAAAGTTTTCAGGAGAGAGAGAACTAGTCTTATAATGGAAATCAGTAGGAAAATGCAATATTTTCAGTTGCGTTTGGTTTTGAATTGCTTTGCCTCGAATATAGGTTTTTTTCTTTTTACTCTTCTTGGCACCTGTAGATAAGTTGATTATGTTAATTAACATTTGCATTCTATTTTGTTAGTTGTATTTTTCATGGTTTGCGAGATTTTAAAAGTATCCTGTTCTCGGCATTTTTTCAAGAGAAATTTCAGTCTCCTTTCTTCTTGAACTCAAGAGAATGCATAAGACTTCTACCTAGGAAGGAAGTACTTCATACTTTTTAGCTTCATTTTATAACAATTCTTAAAGTCTTGAATCCTGGCTTTTGTTTTCTGTATTTTAAAATGTAAAGGAAAAGATATATAAATGGCTACATTAAAGATGTCTGTTGCTCCAGTAAGTGCTGTCCATTATTGGGGTAGGGTATAGAAGTGAAGAAGGAAAAAGTAAATAATAGATGTCTCAACATGATTTTATTAGAATTCTGTATAGACCTAATTAGTATGGAATTGGACTTACACATTTAATCTTTAGAAACTCTTGTAAGCTTTTAGTCCTGGATATATTAATATTAAATATGAATATGAGTTGATACTTAAAAGCTTTACACTTGGCACACTTTCCTTCTGTTTGCCAAAAATACATTATGTTCTTGTTCTACTTTATCTCCTTGAAAATTTGTTGAGCAGGCCTCCTTGATGCATCTCTGCAATCAGAGTATCAAATGTATCATAGTAAACTTCGATTGCTATGGTTCATGGACCTGTTGCCTTGTGCAAATTCAAGAGCCTTGATCCTATAACCCAAATGAGGCTTGGGACACAAGTTTTGAGAGAGCAGCATGCTCTTGGTGCCTAGTTTAGAGCTCATCAGCACACCTCCCACCTTCTTGTTGAACTCATGTTACAGTCGTACTCAGTCATAAAGGTCCTCTGGCCATACCCACAAGGGTTTTTCATTTCCTCCATTGTGTTTCTTTGCTTCCTGTAGCCTATGCTGAAAATGCATAGGCTCAGCTCTTTTTTTTTTTTTTTTTTTTGCAAGTTGTGTGGTTCAGCTTGTCCTTCATGCAAGTGTGCAATCTCTATAAAAAGCTCTTCACTTCCCTTTTAGGCACACTCATGCTGCTTTTGCTAGCACTTTCAGTGATCTCCCTGCTTTTGCACTGCAGGGCTATAGTGGGGTTAATGATGTTTGTAAAACCCCTCACAACAAAGCTGACACACATCTGCCAGACCATAAAAGACCATAGCCTGGCTCCTCAGTTTGCTTAGTACTGAGAAGTACAGGAGAAAAATTAGTTAGGAGCGGCTGTGTAAATCAGAAATTTTTGAATTGGGAGTTTTCAGATAGGTTAATTCATTGTCCGGAAAACACCTTCCTGGGTTCTTAGTTTTTAGCTACTATAATAGTATTTTGCAGTATTTTAAGTTTGTAACTGTTTTGTCAGGTTTCCTTTTGGGGAACCTGGCTTTGGGTTGTTTTTGTTTTCCCCTCACATGGTCATACTCAGAAGATTAAAGTTATAGTTTATTTTTATTCATTCTGTTTCATTCATAACCTTAAAAGCAAGTAACTATTTTACGGGTTCCTTGAGGTAGAGCTTACTGTATCTGCATCACAGATTAAAGTGATAAACAATGCACTTTCAGGGTTCCACTGTCCCTAAGAACTTAATTTGAAAGGAGGCTTACACTGATGTTAGTTCTCACTTGAACACATATCCTTTTCTAACTAGATAGATTTTATTAAAAACCTGCTTTATTTGAAAGGAAGATAATGCACTGCATTTATATTTTCAAACTTGAGATTTAAAAATCTATCTGAATTGGCTACTCTATAATTCCTATGAGAAGGGCTGTGTTGTGAGGGGTAAGGGTAGACAAGTCCTCCGTATACCTGTCAAGTTGAGGAACAGATAGGTAGTGTATGCAATTTCTGTAATAACTACCCAGAATATAGTTGCACAAAATCTTTCTGGTAGTGATAAAAAGTATGTAGTGTGAAAGATTAACTTTTGAAAAACTTCAAAAGCTGTATATCGAAGAGGAGCTGTGATAGAAGTTTAAATTACCACATGCAATCTATTTTTTGCTCTCTTAAGTTGTTTTTTCTAGGTCAGTGGTTCTCAACTTCAGGGCAGTTTTGCCCTGCAGGGGACTTCTAGCAATGTCTGCAGATGTTTTGATGGTCATTAACTGAGAAGAGGGAGTAGGAAGTGCTGCTGGCACCTAGTAGTAAGTAGAGGCCAGGGCTGCACAAGACAGCCCCTCACCCCGCAACAAAGGATTTTCCAGCCCCAAATGCCAGTATTGCCAAGACTGAGAAACTCTGTTCTAGGTGTTATATTCTGAATTAAAGGGTCTGAACCAAGATTCCACAATTTCAGTTATATTTGTTGGTCTTTTTGCCTCAATATAGATATTCATTATACCAAATCTGAGAATTAACCACCTTCTGTATGAGTTAAAGGTTATATATAATTAAATAATATCTCATTATTTCATCTATTACTGAAATAACTCATTAATAGCTGAAATATATTACCTCATAATGTTTTATGACCAATGAGATAGTTTGTAAAGCTGTAGAAGGAAAATGGATAGGTAGATATTTTAAGATATTAGGCTACTACATTATTCTTGTATATGTGACATATGTGTGACAATATGTATATTAAATGAGTTAATACATGTAAAACTCTATCAAAATAAGAATTGCCTCTACAGAGGAGGTGGTAGCAAAGTGGGGATAACGAACCTGGAATTTTATCGTGGTTATTCAGTCAGTGAACAAGATTTCGTTTTACTGCAAGGGAGAATTAACATACATGGGGCCAGGCTTGGTGGTGTGCACCTGTAATTCCAGCTACTTGGGAGGCTGAGGTGGGAGGATCGCTCAGGAGTTCAAGGCCAGCCTGGGCAACACAGCAAGACTCCATCTCTTAAAAAACAAAACATATGAATACCTGCTGTGTCAGCCACATAAGCACTTTCATTTTCTTTGTCAATGACACATAAAGTAATTCTTCATCTCTATTTTATAGTTGGGAAATTCAGAGACACTAAATGTGGCCGAGTTGGAGTTAGAATGAAGGTCTTTGACTCCAAGGCCCTTATTCTTTGTACAGTATTATCCTGTCTTCAAAGAGTGGTTTTATAAGGGTTTGTTCCCGTTAGCTTTTCCTTGAGGATGTTCTAGATAGATTTGTAGAAAACCAGTATTCTTAATTTTCATTCTGTAGAATTGTAGTCTTTTTTAAAGAACAAAATTATGAATAAAGACAAACATCACTAAAATGAGAGTTCTTATCCATATTGATATGAATGGAAATGGATTAAATACTGTTAATTACTGTGAACTGTTTCTTCCCTTTGCAGGAGGTATCTATATGTGGAGTTTGAACTGAAGCTCTGATGTCATACCCTGCCTGTTATTGTGTACATTGTGCTTTGTCTGTGTAAAGTATACTTCATATGCTGTCTTTTGTCACCAGAATTCCTCCCTGTAAGGGTATAAGTGAGGAAACCCAAAAGGCTCTGGACCGTTGTCTTCTCGATTGCACTTTCCGATTGCAAGGTAGAAATAACCGCACGTGGGTAGCAGAGTTAGTGTTTGCGAATTGCCCGCTTAATGGCACTTCTACTAGGGAGCAAGGTGAGATGTTTCACACATTTTGTCTTTGCAGGTTTCTGGATTTTTAAAGTATTGATTACTATTAATATTCTCTTAATCTTATAGGACCATCCCGGCATGTTTACCTGACATATGAAAATCTGTTGTCTGAGCCTGTTGGTGGTAGAAAAGTGGTTGAAATGTTTCTTAATGACTGGAATAGTATTGCACGATTATATGAGTGTGTGTTGGAATTTGCACGTTCTTTACCAGGTACATGTAATAATCTCCTTTTTAAATAAGAAAAAAAGCCCACCCCCCCCCCTTTTTTTAACCGAAGAAGTAAAACATGTACAGTGTTAAAGGCAAAAAAATCAAAATTATATCTAATAAAACTTAAGTGTTCCTTTCATTTCAGACTTTAGTTTCCTTTCCCTATACACAACCACTGTTAAGTTTCTTTTGTTTGCGAAAATTATACACACAGGTATACTGTCTCATAACAATAGTGCCTATTTACTGTGTGCCATACAATATAATAAACTGTGTTAACTCATTTAATCTTCACAATCACAATTATGAGGTGGGTATTATTCCTCATTTTACAGAGTAAAACAAGTTGCAGAGACTAAGAACTTTGCATAAAGTCCCATAGCTAGTGAGTGGTAGAGTTGGAATTGGAACCCTCTCACCGCTATGCTAGACGCTTCAGTATGTCTCACCTGCCCTTGTCCCCTTTTGTAGAAATGGAAGCATATTATCTATTTATGCTGTTGCCTTTATTTTATGCTGTTGCCTTTATTTTTTTTAACTAAATTACTTAACTAGAGACCTGTCTTGGCATATAATATTGCCAAAATGCCCTCTTAATCAAATTTGTATTTTAAAATTTTGCGTGTATAATATTAACCTCCTTTTTATTTTCTTCTGTTTAGACATACCTGCTCATCTAAATATTTTCTCAGAAGTTCGTGTTTATAATTACCGAAAACTTATCTTGTGTTATGGAACCACCAAGGGAAGCTCAGTAAGTCTGTTAATTAAAATGCTGAACTTCCTGTCTTAGGAATATTTTAAAGATCAAGATTTCAAAAAACATGAAAATTACCTTAATATAAGTAAGAGCTCAAGTAAAAGGGATAAAATGGTAAATTTTAAATGCTTTGTGGCTATAAATATAGTATACTACAATGCTTAACTCCTTAAAATTGATAACAAAAATAATACTCTGTGATGGGGTATGTGATCTTGAAGCATTTTGGACAAGGTGATATACTGTTGGTGTTTGTATTTCTTCACTGATTCCACATTTGCTTGGCAATGTGATTATTATAAGGAAAATTATGTATGAGTGGTTATAACAATATGGTATGGTTTTGCTTTTGGTCACATGAATGTTAACATTGTTTCATCTTATTTTAATCTTGAAGTATTTCCTGTAATCTATAGTTCTTTATTTTTTTCCCACATCGTATGTAAAGTCCTAGAAATGTAGTATAAAAATGCAGCCAGCAGGCTTCTCTCTAGACTTCTGCATCAAGTAATGTCAGGTTACTTGAGTGTTTTAAAATCTGTTAACCAAGTATATCTGTGTTCGGAGTGGCTTCCTTCCCCTTTATGACAGTGCTTTTTAGTTGGTGGTACCAAGAGTGTGACTCTTCTTCAGTTCAAGAGAAAAACGAAAAGAAACACTAATGATAATTTTCAAATAAAGTTTAGTAAAGAAAGTTATTTTAACGCCTTTCTGTTTTATTTTGTAAAAGAGGGCTAACACATGGTCAGGAAATGTACTGTTCCATATTAATAGCACATCTGGAATTCAAATCCAGTCTTATTTTATTGCTTGTTTAAAAAAAAATCTCATTTAGATTTTTGGTATTTTGCCTTTTAACATTTTTTTCTTCCTACTTGAATCTGTTATTTTCTGTTTCTGAAACATGTAATCTTTTTGCTTTAGATTAGTATCCAATGGAATTCGATCCATCAGAAATTCCACATTTCTTTGGGAACTGTTGGCCCAAACTCAGGTTGCAGTAACTGTCACAATACCATTCTCCATCAGCTTCAAGAAATGTTCAACAAAACACCAAATGTGGTTCAGTTATTACAGGTAATTAAGTTTATTTTCTGTCTAAAAATAAGACTTAGTATGCCAGGTGTGGTGGCTCACACCTATAATCCTAACACTTTGGGAGGCCGAGGCAGAAGGGTTGCTTGTGCTCAGGAATTCAAGACCAGCTTGAGCAATGTGGCAACACCCTGTCTCTACAAAAATACAAAAATTAGCCAGGTGTGGTGACGCATGCCTATAGTCCCAGCTACTTGGGAGACTGAAGTGAGAGGATCACCTGAGCCTGGGGAAGTCAGGGCTGCAGTGAGCCATGATTGTGTCAGTACAATCCAGTCTGGGTGTCAGAATGAGACCCTGTCTCAAAAAACAAAGGAAAAAAAACCCCAGCACTTAGTGTCTCAGGCAAAACTCTTCAAAAGATCATGGGGACTTAACTTGTCTTTAATGACTAAGGCTGATATCTTTTGTCTTTTATATCTTGAACACTTCTTTGAGAATTTTTTTTGATTCAATGTGGACTCAGTGATCTAGTTTGCATTCTCTTCAAGGGGAAGTTTTATAGAATGTGCCAGGAGGACGTTGTCTCATTTGTGACAGTTATATACTGAAAATTCTGAGGTTTTAACATTTGTACAGAAACTGGCTCCTCTCACTGTGTTTTTGTTCCTTATAGGTACTGTTTGATACTCAGGCTCCATTAAATGCCATCAACAAACTCCCCACTGTGCCGATGTTGGGCTTGACCCAGAGAACCAACACTGCATACCAATGCTTCTCCATTCTGCCACAGTCGTCCACCCACATCAGACTGGCCTTCAGGAACATGTATTGCATTGATATATACTGCCGGAGTCGAGGTGTTGTGGCAATACGGGATGGTGCCTATAGTCTTTTTGATAACAGCAAATTAGTTGAAGGTTTTTATCCTGCACCAGGACTAAAGGTAATAGACTTTAGTGTTATAACATGAGTAAACATAAAAATCATCTCTAAAATAATTTCTTTGAGGGGGAAATAATGGGGAAAAGCAACAAACTCCTGTTTAAATTTAACAAGTAGCAATGTTAATTCATCATCTCTTCATTCTGAAGGTGCTGGAACTTCTGATAAAGTGCTGTGCTTGTGTGTATGAGATTATTAAAAATCCTTTTCTTTATATTCTTACCTTTTGATCAGTAGGGTGAAGATACTAAAAAGAGTTATATTTGCTCTTTGGAACTTTAGGGAACTTTAAAAGTAGTTTTTATCGTTGATTTTTAAAAAGGTTTGGTTATTGATTCTACTGTGATGCTTATTTATTTATTTATTTTTGAGACAGAGTGTCACTGTGTCACCCAGGCTGGAGTGCAACAGCATGATTTTGGCTCACTCGTGCCTCAGCCTCCTCAGTAGCTGAGATTATAGGCATCCGCCACCATGCCTGGCTAATTTTTGTATTTTTAGTAGAGATAGGGTTTCATCATGTTGGTCAGGCTGTTCCCGAACTCCTGACCTCAGGTGATCTACCTGCCTCAGCCTCCCAAAGTGCTGAGATTACAGGCATGAGACCCTGTGCCTGGCCTGATGCTTTTTAAAAATGTAAGATCGTGGACCACAACTGCCAGAGTGGTTAACTGAAGTGATAGCTCAGTTGTATGTGTTTATAGTTCAGAGTCAAATAAATCGAAAGGCTTGATTTGAAAAATAGTCTCCTGCAACCCACTTTTGTCATTTTCTTGCTCCCCAGATGCCCTGTTTTGAATTCTTATATAGCTGATTCTCTTCGTATTTATATCTTTATCTCTAACTAGAATGCCCACATTGCTATTTGTTTACTTTTTGGTTGATGGCATTATCTGATTCTCATAATGGAATATTAATATTCTTTTTTTTCCCCCTTTTTCTTTTTTTTTTGGAGACAAAGTTTTGTTCTATCCCTCAGGCTGGAGTGCAGTGGTATGATCATGGCTCACTGCAACCTCAACCACTAGGGCTAAATCCATCCTCCCACCTCAGTTTCCCCGGCAGCTGGGACCATACCTGGATAATTTTTATGTTTTTTTGTGGAGATGGGGTTTTGTTGTGTTGCCCACGCTTTAATTCTTACTAAATTCTTCTTTATATGTGCCTTCCCCCTTCCAGGCTGCACTCAGTACATAAACACATTTGTCTTTCCCCCATCTTTGTAACATGGTTAGGTAGCAATTTTGATTAGATCATTTTTCAGTGTTTGCACTGTTATGAATATGTAAGCACTGCTGTAACCAAGCTTACTATGATTATTTTTCCTGTCTTGCTCAACATTATATTTTATTGGGAATTATTAATTGGGTCTTTTTTTTTTTTTTTTTTTTTTTTTTTTTTTTTTTTTTTTTTTTTTTTTTTTTTTTTTACCTATTGCTAATTAACCTTAAACTGTCTCCTACTTATGTAACTCCTTTTGGTATTTTCAAACATATCAGATGCCTTACTGATTTCATCTTGAAGAAATATCTTCAATAGGCCTCCGACCTGCTCTAATTTGGACTGATAGCAGTCTGGGCCTTTTACACAGTGTTGACTTAGGTATCTGCAAAAGGATGAACGGGGAGATTCCTTCAGTTCTCTTTTATGTTGCACGTTTCATGCCTTGTGTTGCAGGCCCCTTGGTTTTTTTTTTTTTTCTTGGTTTACTTCATTGTTTTGATTATTGGGATAAGGTACATGAGGGGTGGGGAGTTAATTTGAGATCTTGTACGTCTGAAAGCATCTTTAGTTTACCCTCATCTAACTGAAGTGGCTAGAAATAGAATTCTAGGTTGCAGTCATTTTCTGTAAAAATTTTGAAGATACTGCTTCATTGTCTCCTAGCTTCCATTGTGACTATTGAGATGGGTAATGCTGTTCTAATTCTTAAACATTATGTGACTTGAGTGGGCGTTTTCAGTCTGAAAACTTACATCCTTTTGCTTTGGGAAATCTTACAATATTTATTGATTCATCTCTGTTGTTTTCCGTGGTAGCTCGTTCAGGTACTCCTAATGTTCTGATGCTAGGCATTGTGGACTTGTCCTCCAATTTTCTTGTCTCTTCTGTTTTTTTGTCTCTTTGTTTCTGGGAGATACCTCACTTTTTTCCTCTAATCCCTCTAATTTTCATTTCTACCAACATTTTATTTTGGCCATCCTTTAAACATTTTTTCAGAAGGTCTTTCTTGTTTCTAAATGTTTATTTTAAACATTCTATTATATGGCGACATTACTTTTTCTTCTTTTTATCTTATATAATCTCTGTTCACCTGCTTTTGTGGGGTGGGGGTGTGGTATCTCTTATGTTAGTGTCTTTCCTCAAATGTTAAGTGATTCTTAACTGTCTGCTCTTATTTAAAAGTAAGACTTATTGACTGTGGTCTTCATTGCAGGATGATCTCCTTAGGGCATTTCTTCGGGAAACTTCCAATATCAGTAGCTTTAGGTCTTTTTGTTAGGCTGGTGTGAGTACTGAGAGAAGAGTATCCAAATCTTCTGCATAGATGGTATGCATCTGGCTCTCAGTTTTGGGAAAGTCAAATGAGAAAACGAGTATTCTCAACTTTATGTAGACTTTGATCCCCATTTTTTATATGGTAGTCCTCTCAATTGATCTTTGGTGTCCCCCAAGTCAGAGATCCTCCTCCAGGGTGGAAGAGATCAAAGAGCTAAGTGAGAGTAGCAGAGGATCTGGGAGGGACTAAGTGTCTCTTAGACTTTCACTTAGTCCTTCTGTTGTTAGTCCCACTTTTATCCCCACTTTCAAAGATACCCATATTAGTCTTTTTTCACATTGCTATAAAGGTATTACCCGAGCCTGGATAATTTATAAAGGAAAGAGGTTTAATTGACTCACAGTTCCACAGGCTTAACAGAAAACATGGCTAGGAGACCTCAGGAAACTTACAATCATGGTGGAAGGTAAAGGGGAAGCAAGCACATCTTATATGGTGGCAGGCAAGAGGCACGAGAGCAGAGGAGACTTCTTATAAAACCATCAAATCTCTTGAGAACTCACTATCACGAGAACATCATGAGGGGAACTGTCCCCATAATCCAATCAATTTGTCCCTCTCTCAACACATGGAGATAACAATTTGGATTACAATTCAAGATGAGATTTGGGTGGGGACACAGAGCCAAGCCATATCAGTGCCTGATACTGCCCATTCCAAAGTGTCTTGGGGATCTGGATGGAAATAGCTTGCTTCTTGGCTTTTCCCACAGTTTACTTAGCATACAACTTTCTCACATTGGGTCGTTCTAGTTGCTACTCAGCCATCTGCTTTGCAGCCTCGAGGATGTATTGCTATTTTTTCTCTTCTCCCATTCTTTTTGTCTTTGTTACTTATTGCTTCAAAAATTTTTTCCAGTAGTTTTAGTGGGGAGAGAATGCAATGTGTGTTGTGGGCCCATCATCTTTAATTAAAAGTAGACTGTGGACTTTTTTTTGGGACAGGGTCTTGCTCTGTCACCCAGGCTGGAGTGCAGTGGTGGGATCACAGCTCACTGCAGCCTCAACTTCCCGGACTCAAACAGTCTTCCCATCTCATCCTCCCTGGTAGCTGGATCCACAGGTGTGCACCACCATTCCTGGCTGATTTTGTATTTTTTATAGAGATGAGGTTTTGCCATTGTTGCCCAGGTTGGTCTTGCAAGGGATCTTCCCACCTCAGCCTCCCAAAGTGCTGAGATTATAGGCATGAGTCACTGTGCTCAGCCCACTGTGGACTTTTAATAGCTCTCTAGTGATTCTGATAAGCTTATGATACACACACACATACACACGCACTTGAATACTGGGGATGTGAGGAGTGTTAAAGAGAATCTGTGTTTGAAACACAAACTCTGGTAACCTTACTCAATTTTGACAATATGTAAAACGAGGCTGTCCTACTCTTAATGATTCAAGATTAAATCATATAAAGAAAAAATTAGATTGTGTCTTATTCAATTTTCCTTTCATATTTTCTAGTTTAAGAAGTGAGAGTGCTCACTAGCTGGGATATTTTCCAAGTCATTGAAGTTATGGCCAATATGTTCTTCATTTTTTACCCTCATTTCTGGATTAGAAGTTAGTAAGAAAATATATAATCTGGTTGTAAGACATGCCAGGATGTACTTCTTTCTTTGACTTTTTGCTCAAACAATATTTATTAGTTGATATGACTGTTTTCTTAGATGCTGTTTTTGTTAACTGTTTTCCTCAATTTCCTGCTTCAAAATTAACAATATTTCTTCTAGGTTATCCTACTAATGGTTTTCAAGGATCAGCATACTATGTTTCTGTTGAAATATTCTAAATAATTTAAAATATTTTACTAATAATGTTAGGCAGAATAATCTAAATGTAACCTGTTTCTATCCATAGACGTTCCTAAATATGTTTGTGGACAGCAATCAGGATGCTCGAAGAAGGTCTGTAAATGAGGACGATAATCCCCCTTCTCCTATAGGAGGAGATATGATGGATTCTTTAATATCACAGCTCCAGCCACCACCCCAGCAACAGGTAAAATCTAGCCAAAATTCCAAGTGGTACCATATTTCTGTAACTTCACAGGTTCTACAGGCGTCAGGGCTTCATCGAAAGACAAGGAGGTCATTGGTGGGCCTGAGATGCCCAAGAAATCCTTATGAAATAAAGAGTTGCAGAAGGAGGTGAGGAGGAGACTTCCAGTGACAGGAAATGAATAGTGTTAGAAACAGCATTAATCTCAGATCATTCATGCACTTAAAATGATGTTATATGATTCCATGGGTGGAAATATCATCTGCAGGATCCGAGGAGAGTTTCCTCACCTTGTCTTGAAAGACAGATGCTATTAAAGTAGAACACAGTGGACCAAATGTCTAGTGATGTTCAGTGGGGACTCCTACAGAGAACAGGTGGACAAATTTCCAGGGTTCTGTCCTCAGACCATTTGGATAAAAGCCACATTATAGAAACATAAGAGCTTTCAGTTCT